AAAAAAAAAAAAAAAAAAAAGAGCAGAGGACAAAACAAAACACTCAAGAATAAAAAACACCAATCAAGGGCAATCAAGTTTTAGAGCTAAGGAAAATTAGGGCTGTACTCACAGGGAAAAAGGTGGGTAAGAGCAACTATGGCTGAAGTCTTTAAGATGCTAAAAGGGATACTGAAAGTGGACATAACTTTGACACCCAGGGACACTGATCTAGATTCAAGATAAATGGAACAAAAACTTCAAATAAAACTGCTTAAAGGATGATCTTATGGGTCATATCAGAAAAAAAGGAAAGGTTATTTTAGAAAAACTTCAGTTTAAAAATATACACACTGACAAGATTGCTATGTTCCATTTCTCATTGTATCACGTTATGTTTAGAGTTAGATAAGGCAGACATATCACTTTAAAAAACAATCACAAAGTTCATTCACCCACTCAATAAACTTAATTCTAAGTCTAAATGTCTACCACGGTATTAAAGCAAGGAATGAGACAGAAATGAGCAAAAATATACCAAAAATCCATGGGAATAATATAATCAATGTCTAATCAAGCACAGAAAGATTTCAAATGCCATCATCCCCAATATTCAGTCTAAATTTACCTTTTCTAGTTCTATAAGAAAGCTGTCTAGCGACTCATCTGAGAGTTTGCCTACTTCAAACATTGTGACTGCATGACTTTTCAAGTTCTGCAACAAAATAAAACAAAATGTTAAAGTTCTAGCTTTCCTTTTCCATACGACACATAACAGATTTATGTTATACTTTCTAATACATTTAAACTTGAAATGGGGTGAGATAAGGATCTCATTCTTCCAATCACAAAAGCAACCCTCACTAAAAGTAGTGACATGCCTCTGTGGAATACTCATAGTTATGTTTTCAAGAATAAATCTATTACTCAGAAAAGATTTTAAAGCATTAAATTATTGAATAGATCATTTTTACTTTAAACATCTTTGTACTTAAAAAAACATTTTACTTACTGGTGAAAGATTTCCCATCATTAAGAAGGCAGTAAGAGTTGAGTCAAATAGGAACGCAATACGCTTTGTATATCCTGCAGACAGACTCAAACTGCTTATACTGGCTGTATCAGCTAAAAAAAATAATTTAAAATCATACAATGAAAACCATTCTCTGCTTACCGTTTGGAATGAGAAAATACTTCATTTTAGCTTTATTGGGTAGCCAGAAAGTACACAGTCAAATATACACATTATAGTCATAAGAGGTCCCAATCATCTTGAAACACAAAGAAAATGGTTTAAAGTTTTCTTTTTTTTTTAAGGCAATTACTCTTGCAATAAATTTCTTTAAGACCAATACTAAAAACTTGAAAGTTGTCCAGTCAGTAAGACTAACTGGCATAACCCCTCTAAACATGTCACTGGCCTTGGCAGTAGGTAGAAATAGAAGAAGGTCTATCTCATGCTCCTCTTCCCTCCCAAAATAAGCCATGGGCAGCCACCTTGCACACTATGCTCCCTCTTTTGGGGTGCAGCCCACATTGTTCTTGTGGGCTGAAATGGCCTTACTGCACTGAGGAGCAACTAACATCACTGCCACAAAGACTTCCCAAGCGCTCCAGCCTGATTGCGGCTCATCCTCTTCACACCCTACAAACACCGTAACTAGTCCCCTCGATGATACAGTTTTCTTGGTTGTACTTCTTCTTTCTCCTTGAATCTAATTGTCAAAAAGAAGCTTGGCTCAGCGATCCATAAGTAATCCCAGCACTCTGGGAGCCCCGAGGCAGTAGGATCGTAAGTTCAAGCCTAGTCTGGGCAACTTAGTGACACCCTGTCTCAAGTGAAAAGTAAAAAGGGCTGGGGATGTAGCTCAGTGCAAAAACCACGGATTCCCCACTACCAAAACAAAAGAGAAAGAGAGAGAAAGTAACATTTTCTGTTGATTTTATACCTCAAGACTTAGTACAGGGCCTAACCTACAGATAGGTACTCCAAGACTTCAAAAAACAATAAACTCTGAGAATGTATGTCTGGACAGATGCTGTGCCTACAGACAAGACTAAATTAAATGAAGTAATGGCTCACCTGGGTCTTCTTGACTATTTGTATCTGTGTCAGTCGCCGAAGAAGCTTCTTGCACAGGACTCCTACTCTCCCCACCATCCCATGATAAGAGCATCTTCTGTGGATCTAAAGTACTCCTATTAATGAAGAATACATTCACTGTTACTAAAAAAAATCACAGAAATAAATCTTACTTAAAAATAGCTACTGAAGTGAGTAAATCTGAACAATCTCTCTAAATCCACTCTTATACCCAAGTCTGAAACCAAGACATATGCCTAAAAATGCTCTACCTACAGACACCACAGCTTCTTAACCAAGATACATGGTCAGGGGGCTGGGGATTTAGCTCAGCGGCACAGTGCCTGCCTGGCAAGTGCAAGGTCGTGAGTTTGATTCCCGGTACCAGAAAAAAAAAAAAAAAAAAAAAAGATACACGGTCAGGCTTAAGGGAACTCCAAAATGCTATGTAAAATGCTGTATATGCTCTTTTGGGGAGTAAGAGTGCTTAGTTTTCATCAGATTCTAAAGAAGATTCGTCATACACAAAAAATTTAAAACCACTAATATATAGGGTTTACCTCAACTGAAAGACTAAGTAAATTTCCTCATGTAAAAATTAAATTCCTTTTCCAAAGAAAACTCTAATATAATACTGAAAAATGAGTTACTTTAATCTGTTTACAGATGGAACATTCTTCCACGATGAATGAAGCTGATCCAGATTTATTACTTGTCCTTTCTTATGGGCAAAACCTAACCGGCAATACATTGAAACAGCATTCTGAAAGGAAGATAAAGAAAATTAGCATCTAAAATAATCTAAACATTAGAATACTTGTAGAGAAAAAATAACATTGCCCCTAGCAATTCTCGAACATAGCCTCATCCCTACAGGTCCTCCTGTGGATGGAAGTAGGGTCCTCCCACTTCTCTGGTCCTGTCTTCCCCAAATCTACTCAATAAGCTGGTATTGTGGCTTGAACTGAGTTCACTACAAGAGCCTGATCAGGCCATTCTGCTACAGGACCTGCTACACTCATTAGCTTGAATGCATTCATTCATCTGGTGTCTTGTCCTTTTGTCTCTCTGCAAAATCTCTTTAAGGTTCACCCTCTCCAAAGCAGTAAGAATTTCAAAGCTTCTGTCTGTCATATCAAGATAAAAACCAACTAGTAAAATCCATTCTGTACTCATATTATGAATGAAGAGTATAATTATTACATACCTTAACTAGAGACAAGTCTATCTCAAGGACATTGGCAAGCTAGAAAAAATTCAAAATTTTTCCATTCTTAGAATTATCAGCACATTACACAGTTGTAATAGACATATGTAATCATAATCAGCAAAATTTGTTATAAATAACTAAGACTCAATAAATTTTGAATTGAGAACCTTTTTATTTCTTAAAAGATTCTTAAAACTATTACAAATTTAGGTAGTTAACTGTAACAATTTAAGATTCCTCACTCTAATTTTATGTCATTTAAAATAAAGAATTCCTATGCAGATCAGTATACTTGACAATTCTTTATATGAAGAATCATAAAAAAGATAATTAACCAAATTATAAATTAATGCAAAGGAAAGTTTTATTAAGCATATATAAGAATTAACTTATGAATAGCGACATCAGGTATATTAACAGTCTCTAATCTCCCTCTGATAGATTCTGAGAATATTTTAACCACATCATTAAGTAATTTCATGTACTCTACCTAAATTTATCCTATAACCTTGAGATTATTTTCATAAGATGTTGCCACACTTACCTCTGCAACGTTAGTGTGCTCGTCTATTGAAACAAATATTTTATAGAGTAGAGTTTCAAAATAATCACCCTGCACTCGATTCATCACAAAGCCTTCAAGGGGAGGAACTAAAACAAAATAGACTTTTCTCAGTGAAATAATTTTATAAAACAAGAAAGTATAATTTAAATATCAGCTCAAAAATAGAAGCCTTTCACTTAGGGACTGAGTACAGCTCTTGATTTATTTTATCCACTCCACAGCAAGTTTCCCAAAACACCCAAAGTTAAGGCCACATACAGAATATCTACACAAAGAGAACTTGGAAGAGAGATCACAAAACTTGCAGAGCAATGTAATTCACTGTGGAACTCTCAGAGTTACAGAGGCAGAGGTAATGCTGGAAAACACAACTCGCTGGGTGCAGCCCAGGGCTGCTTTAGAATGGGGAAGTTTGCGTGGGTTTCTGGTCTGCATGCTTAATGCCTCACAGGCAGTAGGCGTGATGGGGCCAAAGCAGAAAAGCAAAGAGCTAGAAGGAAGCAACCAGGTGGATGGAAAGCACTGGCTCTCTGCCTTTCTCCAACACCCCCACTTTAAGCTAGAAGTGGAGAAATTCACCCACAGTACTGCCACGTTTGCCACCAGTCACTGATAATTTGCCCTTGCAGGTGTCCTACAGTGGAAGCTTCTCAGCAGCTAGTGGTCAGGACCATCTGAAGTACAGCAGTCAGCAGCCACCACTGTTCCTCTCCAAATGAGCACTCATACTCACTTCTATCTCTCTGGCCCAAATGCTCTCCATCTGCCTTATCAGAGAGCTCTCCCTAGCCAACAGTGAAGTGCTATGCTTTCCTTTACCTCCCAAGTGAAAACACACTGGAAAGAGCGTATCTGTGCCACAGCAGAATTTGGGTGGCCCTGTATCCTCAGCCCTAACACAATTTAATTGCAAACAAAACCCAAATTATTCCTAATAGTGAAAGTAAGAAAAAATTCAAGTGCCTAAAATTAAGACACTGAAAAACTACACTGCGCATTTCATGATAGGTTATATACAGTACTTTATTAGATCTGGCTTTTCTCATTTTCTGTTTTACTGCTAATATTTCCAGTCATCTGGAGACTTTCAAGGATTTATTTTAGAAATAGCTTAAAAATTCCATACTTAATATTATTCTTTTCCTACACTCTCATCTGTGTGAAAATACAAATGGATATTTATTGAATGTTCATTAACAATTAGACTTTTACCAGTACTTCATATATACAATTTTACTTAATCATCTTTAACATCCTGAGCTATATGATAGTCTAATCACTCTTCTTTTTGAGATAAAGAAACCAAGGCACTAAGAGTTTAGAAATTTTCCTAAGTTACATCTGTATCTAGGCAGAAAGAAGGTAACTCTACATAAAAAGATATGGATGAGTCTCTAGTAAATATTGTTAAAAAGTATGAACTAGCGTACCTATATGTATAAACATAGTCACAATCTATCTGTATAAAAATTAAGGATGTGCTCGTACATGCCTATATGCAAAGGTACACTTCCAGAAGGATACACTAGAAATTGAATGTGCCTACTGAAAAATGAACTGAGCGGCTAGACACAGTAGTGGGAAGCAGACTTTTTACACCGTTTGTAAATTTAGAATTTTGCATAATTATTCCCTACTCAAAAATATGTTTAAAATAATAGGGCCAGGCATATAGCTCAGTGGCACAGCTCCTGTCTGGCAAGGACAAGGTCCTGAGTTCAATTCCCATACCAAAAAAAAAAAAATATATAGGAAGAAAATGCCTTGGAATAACCAAGAAAATTGTACAAACAGACTCATAAGGAAAGCCTGGCCATAACTAATTAAAAGTTATTACTCTAAATCACTACACTCACTAACAATATAATATCAGTGGGGGGAAAAGGTATTAGATCCAATACAGAAGTACATTCATTATCTAACAAAAATCATTTTTCCTTTCAGTAGTAATGAGTTACGGGGAGGAAAAAAAACTGCTAGCATTTATTTAAATGCTACTCACCATCCAAACAGAACAGCAAGCTGGGCCCTTATTTCACACCAAATACAAAAGTTCCAGACTACAGATTTGGATATAATGTACTTCAATCACAGACACAAACCTTTCAAGCATAGCAGAAAGGAAGGAGCAATAAAAGGGCAGGTATAAAATATGCAATTAGAAAGTATGACGAATGGTGGAATACATTTCACTTACCAACAGAGCATTTCAAGAGCATTCCTTTTAATGGTGACAAATCAAAGACTGATCTTTTCAAGTGGACCTCAAATGAGCCAATGTCAGTTCATCAGGTAAGAATAGGGACTAGAGTAATGCTTTCATATTTTCCAACCGTGACAGGGAGCCACTACCACTTTCTGTTTTGCTAAAATGTTTTCAAATATTAAAACTAAGGTGGGCATGGTGGCAGAAGGATCATGGTGAGTTGAAGGCCAGACTGAACTACATAGTGAGACTCTCTCAAAAAGTAAATTAAATAAATAAATAAAAGTATAAAACTAGTATTCTATGTTGTTCCATCATCAACTATACAAACACAATTACTTTTCTAGCTTTCCAAACAAAACAGAACTCATGCATACACAAGGATCAAAACGTCTTATTAAAGAATCATAAGCCCATCCTAACACCAATAAAGGTCAGGACACACTACAGTAACACTAACTTATCAAGATTCAACACTGGTATGAACAAGTATATCTATAACAAGTCCTGTCATCACTCATTTGGTAACAGTAAGGCTATTCCTTACAATCTGACACTATTTGATTATACAAATGAGTATCTTAGTATTTTTTTAAAATTATATTCAAGAGCAATAACAAAAACAACAGTCTGGAAAACATACTGTAACACACACCTGAATTAAAGTGCTTTTGCAAACTGGCAAGAAATATAAACTATAGGGAAAAAGCATCACTCTGTGTTCAATGTTAATTCTATTAATCCTATAGTATCAAAACACTGAAAATAACATAAATAACCAGGAACAGGGGAGTGGCTTAATAAACTGACACATCCATTAGGTGTAGAAGAAAATACACAGGCTCCTAACACTGGCATAACTTGAAAAGGTGGGTAGGAGGGCAGGAGGAAGAGAGACAGGAGGAAGAAGGACAAGAGAGACTGCAGCAACGTGAGACACAGGTATATTAAGAGAAAATGAAGAACACAATTCTACATTACTGAATATGTGCAAGAATTGTTATGCACTGAACAAAGGAACAAAAGGTGACATGAACTTATAAAAACACTGATTTCATTTGAAACCATGAAAAATTTATCTTGAAATTCCATTATTTTAATACAGTATGATACCAAAATAACATAAAAATAAAATAATAAGTTCACATAAAACCATCACAGTGGATTACAATATGACAAAGAATAAATGCTTTTCTTTGAAAAATACTAAAATCTACAATTCTAGAATGTCTAACTTACTAGGACAATGATATGCAGTGCCCAGCACTGAATAACCATTCAAAGCTGCTGAAAAGCTTGGCCCAGACTTACCTGCTATACAACTGTCATCAGATATTGGTACATCCAGATAAATAAATCCTTTATTATATAAACCTACAGAAGTAAAAGCATTTTTAGATGGAATACTACATAATAGTACTTTTTAAAATGATTCTTGCACTTCTACAAAGATTCTTAAAACTGAATGCTACATGAACAAAAAAGGAAAATAAAGAAAAAGCATTATATTAAAAGTTTTTAAATCTTAGTTTCCTACACATGCTTAGAACTATAAAATTTTTCTTTCCATGCATTTGTATAAACTTCTAGTGTATGTAGCTTACTACAGACACACTGGAAAACAAGACTATGATCAAATTTCAAACAATAGCATGCCTTAGCAAACAGTACTATTTGTCCCTAATCAATAAATAACTGCTATTAATTATTGCTGTTTAAAATAAATTTTTATTTTGACAAAAAACCATTTCTACTAACCACTTACTATGTACTATATTGTAATCTAGTGATCCAGAGAGTTGAGGGCCTGAATCGATGATCTTATCAATAGCGCATTTCTCAGGCAAAGTGCATATCTAAGAAAAGCAAAACAGTCTCAATTAAGTTCTGCCCAAACTAACTAACCCATTTAGTCTCCCAAAATCTACTCAATGATTAGATGTCAACAGCTGAATAACTATACTTTTTTCACTTATTACTACAGAATTCAAACCAAAAAAAAACCCTATGCACATAACCATGACTTGAGATGAAAATATGCTACCAAAAGAATTGGGGATCTAAGTCAGCAGATATGACCATATCTGCTAGTTAGTAACAAGTGCCTACTAACAAACACCACTATGTAGTCTTCTTTGAACTGGAGTCACAGCCACTAGCAAATCTGATTCCAAATCTTTTCAATCAGACATTCACTCAAACTCCACAGGAATATTATCGGTGAATGAAGACTCAATCAGCTTATGACAGTCCCACATCTCCATGAGGAAGTATGTAGTTACACTGAAGCAAAATTTCTAACTCCATTCATTGATTTTAATAGACTCTGCAAAGAAAAATCCAAAACAGACCAAAAAAAGTTCATATACTAATTTATCTTCCCTCCATTACACATAATACGCCCTGGCTTCCAGGTTTCCTCATCACCTGTCTCCCCTTTTCCTCTAAACCATCATCCCTTATAAAATGTATAAAGCTTGTATCAAATACAGTTATACTATATTTTATTTCCCTTGATCTTAACACTATCAACCCAGCAAAGCACTAATCATTTTAATACAATGGCTCAACACAGTGATTAATATACAGGTTGCCTAGCAAACTGCCTAGGTCAATGATGACGAAACTTTTAAAGATGAATTCCCCAACTGGAATCTAAAACCCACTTACCGTATTTATCACGAAAGGTCAACACTGCAACTAAATCTAAATACTGAAGTTTTAGCTTAGAAAAAACAACTCATACATTAACATCTTTTGTGTTAAAAGAAAAACAACACACATGCCATAGGTTCGCCACCACTGGCCTAGGTGAAAAATACTTGCCCACCACACTACCACTGTGATCTGAGCTGTTAAATTAACTGCTCCATGCTCACTTTTCTCATCTGTGAAATGGAGAACCAACTTGTACTTTCTTCTGTAGTTGTTAGGAGAATTGAGTGAGACAATATTAAAAAACACTTGGAATAGCCATATCTTTGTTGTTGATAACTATGGCTTCACATGTCACTTTACATAAAATGTCTACTGGATTAACAGCCCCAGAAGACTGTACCTGAACCAGGTCAAATCTCCCTCATCGTTAAAGATTATCTTGGAAACTCTACCAATATTCTAGCCTACTAAGATCACTTTTAACTTTTAATTCAGTTTTCTGCAGGAAAATCAATGGCATTACCTTCTAAAAATACTTTATGACTGTATTTAAAAGCTGCAAAATAAGTTAAGAAAAGTTCTATAAGTAACTTTTACAGATCTCTACCTTGATGTCATCTTCTGTGATATATCCAGACTGCACCACCCACCACGCCTCAATGGCAATTTCCACCGGCTTTATTGGTAGAAGATCACGAGCCGTTTTCCTTCTGAAAAATTTCTGCCATGGTACAAACATCTGAGAATTTGCAGTCAATCTAAAGGATTATTTTCTTTTTTTTAATCAGTTATATAATAGGATTGTTTCTAACAAGCCAAATATATTATTAGGCTCTCATGTTTGGAGATATATTGAATGGAGAAAGTCACTCTTAAACTATTTCATATAAATTATTTGAAACACTCATAATTAAGCCTGGATCAAAATTCACAACACTAATGAATCACAACAGCTGAAAAACACATTTGAAAATATGCACTTATTTCACGCATTAAGTGAATTCTGGACAAGTAAAAAGGCAAACAACAAAATTAATTGTTAGAAACAGACATTTCCTGCTGTAGATATTTTAACTCAATAATGATTTATGCTAAAACCCAGAGAATACTGACTTGTATTAAGTATATTTTATTAGATCAAAGAGGTTACACTTCATTATTTCTACCACTTTAAAAAAAACTGTATATGAAAGCCAAACACTGAAAAAAGGAAATGACTTACTTTTGATGACCTACACTGATTCATAAGATCAATATACTGGTTTCTTCCTATGCCAAGAAGCCTTAGACCTGAAAGAAAAGTCTTTCCTTTAAAAATACAGACAATAAATAAATACATACATACGTACATACTACTTCTTGAAATGTCAGTATATTCAAAGTGATTTTAGGAAAATCCTCAGCTTGTAGTCATCTTTTGATTACTGACTGGTATGGCCTATCAATATCAAATTTAAAAAAGAACTCTTCAAACAAAACATAAAAGCAAATTGAACTGCGGGAGAGATGAGTTTAGACAGACACTTTTGACAATGCTAAATAAGCACATTTTTAAAAAGGAGAAATCCTAATTTCAAGAAGTAAAAATGTACTACTCAGCAAAAGCTTCTTATATGAAGAACTATTACATTTCAAATACATACAGTACATCATTAAAATAAACATAATAAAACACTAACAAATTATGTTGGTTAAAAATTGAACATCAAAGTGTAAAAATATTCTGCCCAAATTTTCTTCCTCTATTTGCTATTCATATAACCCAAATATCAGAAAGAACTTTATTCTCTAGAAATAGTATAGATAATCTTATTATTCTGATTCTATCATCTAAAATTACTTTTAGACTAAATTTTATATTTGGTTATTATATGATAAAATTCCCTGTTCTCATTTTTCATTTATTTCAGGTTAAAAACATTACAATACGGAAAGAGACCAGCACACACGCACGAAGACACAATCTAAAAATTACCTCCTTCAGCACAATGAAATACTTACAGTCAGCAGCAGTAAAATTGGGCAATGAGTCATAACTTTTCTCACTGTTCATAATGTCCTTTTAAAAAGAAAAAATTCAAAATGCAAGATTTCCTTAGACAAAAGCGTGTGTGTAATATATACAGCTATAGACAGAGTAACAAGTATTACAAGAAGCACTGACAGCAGAGTTTGTCATCCTAAAGCATACATGCCACACTGATACTGTGGTTCTTAATCACAGTCCCAACCCAGTAACTGAAAGGCAGACTTTCAAGTCTGGTTTTCTTACAGCACTATGAATCCCAGAAGGTCACGCTATAACCTCAGCCCTGTGGAAGCTATGCAAGGAACACCTCTACTACAGCTCAGGCTTCCAGCTTCCCCACTCATACCTGATCCTACGTTCCTACCCTGGGAGAAGGCCAGACAGTGTGTCACAGCTCCATCAACCTGCATCCAAAACACCTCCTATCGACAAAGATTTTAACCACTCAGCAGCCTTTGCTCCTATAAGTCTCAGTGGTGAGAGTTAAACCCAGTATCCTGCTTTCTCCAACTCCAATCTGTTTCTACAATAATAAACCAACCGTTTACTTCATGATTAGACCCATTTTCAACCCAGGAGCTAAACACAAGGGCATAAAAAAAGAAATCACACAGCAGCAAGCACCCACGTAAGGCTGGCATGAAAGCTGGAAAAAGTACAAAAAATTCATCAATCTTGTTGACCTTGTAGATGAAACCAGAAAAGTAAAGAGACAGCAATAACTATTCTACGTACTGATTAACTGCCACTACTCCACTTCTTCATCATGCTGCTCAGCCTGTCAGACTTCAAAAGGAGGGACACGGGAAATGGGACTGTGGACATGCCAATGGAAAGTGGCCTACAGAGTTACACAAAGGCACCACATAGCACAGGGAGCTGACCTTCCCTTGGAGCAGGTTCCCAGCTTCTCTGGCTATAAGTTTTCCCCTGTTCTTCATGTAGCTAGTGAGCCCAAAACAGCAACACTTGGACTTAATAGCAAACCAGTACTAGGTAAATACTGCTGATCTATATACATAAAGCTCACTTCAACAAACAGTATATAGCTAGTTAACTTTATTCAACACAAGCCAAACACAAGCTGCCTTTGGAAAAGGATAAAAACCAAAAGCTAGTAATTACAAAAAGAGACATGGGACTACTAACACATTTCTCTTTCTTGAAGCAAACATTATATAATGTGTCTGTGTCATGATTTATTTATACAGTTAGTGAATAAATATATTACATTTCTCTGCATTTAAAGATTGTCACCCACATTTTCAACCTTAATTATAAATTAAAACCAATACATTTTATACAGACTCTGCATAAATGACTAATTAATACCAAATAGTACAAAAAGTCAACAATACCTTCAAGAACACTAGAAAAACAGGTACCTCCCCACAGTGAAAACATCAATGATGACTACTTGTGCAAGTGTGGCTGACAGTCAACTTGTAACCAGTCATCAGTTCATGCTATAATTTCAGAAACAATGTCTGCTGTAGGTGCAGAGCTGGTCATCAGCTGCAAAGCGTTCTGCCATGTAGTCCCACCCCGTTCTTACCAGTTCACTCACATGGGAAACTTACCTCCATGATCCCAGTGTAGTAGGAAAAGGGTGTGATCCTCAGGCCCTTCACCATGATATCCGATAGATGGTAAGGGTACAGCATGAGATGATCACGACTATACTTCAGTAGCTCCTCATAGTATTTCCGTTCATCTTTCTTGACATGTTTAACTACAGGAAAGCAGGACATTTTCAGAGCTTGCAGGTTTCTTACCGTTATTATAACTAAATGTACTAAGAAATGCTTTACACACCAATTTAATTTTTTTTTAAGCATGTAAATTAGAAAAGAACCAATAGCCAGGTGTGGTGGCTCATGCCTATAATCCCAGCATTCAGAAGGCTGGGGTAGGAGGATTGCTGTGAGTTCAAGGCCAGCCTGAACTGCATAGTGAAATCTTGTCTTAAAAAGATAAAAAAATTTTAAAAAGAAAAGAACCAATAAAATATTCTAAGTTGGAAGAAAGGAATAATTATAGCACAAGAAATAGCTTTAGAATATGTAAGCAAAAATAAATAAGACAGATAAGTAAAGAAATAATTCTTATCAAATCAGAAAATAGGCATGGAACAGTAACATGCTTTCTCAAAGGTACAAAGCACAGTCTATTAAATCATACAATTCCTTTCTATATAACTTTATAAGATAGCCAAATGCATGCTAGTTTTCAGTAAGTCAAGTATATTTTTAAAAACTGTTGACTTTTTGTTTTTTTTTTTTTTTTTAATGCAAAAAAGCCCTTTGACTTTCACGGAAAATGTTTATACATAAAACCTATCACTTAAATATTATGCTTAAAACTGACAAATGAGACAGGAAAAACTAGCAGGGCAACAGAACAGAATAACCAGTTATCTGACAAATAAAAAGCAAATTGTTTTAAATAGGGTAAAAAAGTATCATCGAACCAACTATGTTTAAAATTTGTCCCAATTATAGGAGAAAGCATTTTTCACTTAAGCTGTATTATTTACAAAATGTATAGCTATAAAGCAAAATTGAAGTTGAAAATTAAGAACTCATGTACATTTCCTCGTCTGGCATATTTTCAAGTAAAGGAGGGCATTGAATTAAGATTATTACTGTACAGAAAAAAAGAATTTATAAACTATAATCAATAATCTATGCTAAAAGACAATTTTCATCAGAATTAGAAAAATATACTTGCTAATACAAACTGTTAAGTAGAATGGGTCAGTATGGTTTCTTAAACTCTGTACATAAAATAACTCTAGTACCTGTACTGAAAAGATAGGTTAGATTTATTAAAATTAAGTCAGAAAAAGTCATTTCCACTTTCATATAAAAATGTCTGTACTTACCTAAGTTATTTCTATATCGTAACTGATTGCGGATACTGTACAGGACAACTTGCTTGTCATATTCTCTCTGTGAATTTCCAAGACTCTAAAAGAAATTTCAGATAGTTATTCAACAGCTTCTAAAATCAATGGTACCTTTTACCCCACAAACTTTCAAAGCCATGACTCCTATTTTTATCCTACCTCTAATTTCCAAAACTGAAGAATATTTCCTTAAGTTTCCTTTATCTCTTTTGCTGTGGTATTAGTGCAAAAATTCAATGTGTTTTCTTTCCAGCCTGCCTTTCTAAAATGACTTACTGAAATTACCCAATGCAAATAAAAGAGCAGTTAAATTTTACTTACAAAAACTTGCTCCTTGAATGCCCCCAATCTGCATGTGTTACATGGATGGATGAGTGGTTTTCTACACCTACATTTATTTAAGAATGGTAACTAAGGACAGTTATTTGTAACTGAGGACTATGATTATTAAAGATTGAGTTCTAGAGAATGTACATTAAGCCTGCTTCTTTAAAATGCCATTTCCTTATGACTTCAATAGGAAATATGGAGACAAATTTTAGAATTCTGACACAAAGCCATTCCTTGGTATCCATGGGCACTGGTTCCACAATTCCAAGGATACCCAAACCCATGGATGCTCAAGTCCCATTAAAAAGGCACAGTATTTGCATTAACCCTACACATACCCTCCAGTATACTTCAGATCTTCTCTAGATTACTTAAATACCTAACACAATATAAATGCTAGGTAAATAGATGGTACACTGTATTGTACCAGGACAATGCTAACCAAACAGTTTGTACATGGTCAGTACAGACACAAATTTTTACATTTTCAATCAGTACCTGCTTGAACCTCCATATCCATGGAGAGAGGGCCATCTGTATTTTTTAATAAGCAAAATACTTTCTAGCAATGCATTTAGTGTTTTAACTTCAAAGATGAAATGTTAAAGCAAAGAATAAATATGCTTGACCATCAACATCACAGGTAATGTGTGTCCAGAAACTTAATTTATGACTACTATCTACTTTCTAGTTACTAGGTATGCTCTCTCCATACCTAGATCCACTGTAATTCTTATAGGTTTTTAAAAGCCAAAGTAAAAATTCATACATGTATCTTTCATTTAAGGCACTCTTCAAAACAAGACAGATGAAATGCACATCTAAATAAACAGGCTCCTAACCAGAAATACTGGTAGATAGCACTTTAAGAAAAAATGGAACATGTAAGAAAATTGCCTTTCCTCTTGTACCTAGAATAGTTTTTCACAATTACACAGAATTCACACTACTACCAGAATATGCTCATACTGTTTTCATGTTTTAACACTGTAAATGGTTAGAAGTGGATTTCACTGTGAAGAAACCACCCCTCCATCCTCTAGACATAGCACTGCAGCCAGGGTCATCAGTACTGAAGATATTTAGATCTGAAATGACACACTTTCTGTCAAATTTTTTAAGGTTTTCTCCAAGTCTACTGCCAAATGAAAGTTTCTTTCTTACAAAACACACACATATGCAAACACACAACCACACAATTTTGCTAAAACCTTAGCAGGTTCCCAATGTGATCTTTTGTTACTGTTTCAAAGTAAGTCTTTGAATTTAGTCTTAACAATTTTATTCCTTTCAAACTCTTTTTCTAGCAAGTCCAGAATGCTTTATTTCAATAGAATATTTATTTTTAAAAGAATCAAGATTTGTTTTACTTATAAAGCAAGTTACACAAAATATAAGGGTCCATTATTTGTAAGCCTCACTGGAGAATACAAAAGCTGCGAAACATGTAAGTTTTTGTACTAGGTATGGGATGACTGGTCCTAATCAATATGTGTGTGCAGATAAATACCTAAAAATTCTTCCCTAGCCAAGTGTGTAAAATAAAAAGACTATGTTCAGAGATTCTGTGCCCCAATCACCACCAGCCATACCCAAATCTCCCACCATCCACATTTTAAAACATTGTTGCCAATCATAGATGTAATAGGGTTCAGGAGTTCTTTCACCCTGAGACAATGCTGGCTTTGCAGAAATAGGGACAAGGTCTGACAAATGAAGGGTTACATATAAAGGGAATTATAACATTGTTTAGAAAGTCAGCCTAAAAGCACAGACTTTCTAAAGCCACTGCTCCTAGACACACTAACTCCAGTAAGTATATCCCAAACTGCCCCTCCTCCCAAAATCACATTTTTAATTGACCCTTCTTAGATTACACAGAACCTCCATCATAAGATTTCTCTTAAAATAAATGATCTGTTTATTATTATGAATTGTTTTAAACAATGAGTACACGATAAGTAAACTACAGTAAATCCTAAAAATAATGGCCCCATCCACAATTTTTAATTTTTTTAAGTCTAACACAACCCATAGCATATTAAAAATATTTCATCTCATCTACAAAAAAGTAATTGGCTTGAACTACATTTTTTTAAAAATCTAAATCTTTTCCCTCTTTCAGAACTAGGAAATATATGAGTCATTTCCAAACTATGCTCATCAAAACTTACTGGAAATCCTATCATCAGAACTTACAATATCTACAGATGCCAAAAGACAAGCTCTTTCCATATAAAGAATATTCCCCACTTTTACACTGACTGAGCTTTGGCTGCCCAGGAAATATCTCAGGCTGATACCCCATTCATTCATGCCATAAATATTTATTAAAAACCAACTACGTGCCTGCTGCTCACAACACAAAAGCATAATATAACCAGAAAATGCACCATGGTGGCTTAGTGTTATGATGAAACAGTGCTATGGCAGGATACCCAGGGGCAACTCTTCCGGATTTAGGAGGTCAGAATAACCTCATAATAGACAGGAATTCCTGAAGGAGATTCAAAAAGAAGCCACAAGTACTAGAAGAGACAGGCAGTGGTAGGACTAAGCTTGCATTTTAGAAACCTCATTCAAGTGTAGTGTGAAGGAGTAGGAGGGTCCTATTCTGACTGAGGGCAAGAAAGCAGGCAAAGAGCTGAAGTGGTAATCTAGGATAGAGCCTGACCTAGGAAAACAATGGTGGGGCTCAAGTCTTAGAAAAGAAACTGGTACAGATGAGTTTTTCAGCATCTACCAATGACCAAGTTTATCCTATGCTCAAACAGCTATAATTTAAGAGATTTTGCAAAACAAAATTTTTTTTAGTTTAATTTGGTATTTGGACCTAATCTTAACACTGTCCTGTGATTATTTTTAATTATTATCATAAGCAAGTTTTAGGAAGCCTTCTGTCAGTACCTGACCACTTACTTTTCATTATACATTAATTTTGAGAAAAAAATGGTAAGAAAAATAGGATTACTGGTCTCCCAACTATCTCTAGCTATGTCACAGAACTCCAAAGGAAAGTGTCCAACTAAGCCTTCACTCAAACTTAACAAGAAAACATGTTCCTTCAGGAGTAGGGCTTTGTTTTTCCAATTACAGATCAACGTGTCTGGGCAACCACTGACACCCAAGAATTCTAAGTCCCTGAAATTTATCTTTCTACTTCCCTGAGCTTTGATATCATTTAAGTAAAAGCATGTTCTCTGCATGATATGCATCACCAGACCCCCATATTATTCATTTACTACTGCTGGGGGACGGGTAAAACAAGCTGCAATAATCTTTATACCACCACCACTACCATTCCAAGCTTTCCAAAATGCCAATGACCAGTTCCAAAGAAAAACAGAAGGCTACTCTCAAATAAGGAGGAGGACCTGAAGGTCAGAGAAAGTGTTTTATATGTAGCACATATCAGAACATTTCTTCATCACAGTCACCACCCACCCACCCTTTATGTAGTATTTATTCACTTATTGGTTTACTGCTGATCTTTCTGTGCCAGAATATTCGTTCCACGAAGGCAGGATTTCTGTCTTGTTGACAGCTGCAAATTACCTGCACTCAGAACAAGGCACACGTCCTTAATAAATAAATACCTGTGAAACATCTGAGTAAAACTGCCACTCAAAAATTTGAGCATTAACTCTCAAAACCCCTGTCACTCTCGTTGACATATCTCTAACAAACTCATCTTCTCTAAGGGCGACGTCCAGTGAGACAAAGTGGGTCAGCCCCTTGAAAACCCGGTGCTGACTGCTTCTTCCGCCTAGTCCACGCCCAACCCCGCGCCCTCACCATCCCCACCCCCGAAGGCCACAATACTTGGCCAATCCCCAACTTCGCTATACCCAGTTACTCAATATTCTGAAGATCTGCTCTTCCACTTGGCCAAGTTTTTCAAACTGATGTCCCAACCCCTGGGAAAACCTTTATCTCTTCTGGCTCACTAACTCTCATTGGCCCCCGAGGCCAGCTTAAACGCCTTCTGTACACATCCTCGCCCAGTCTCCCTGGGCGCTTTCTTATTCCCACATATACAACACGAAGGTGCGTTTGCGCGCCTGTCACCCTACACCCCATGCATTAGTTTCTCGTCCTCGTCCCACCAGCCCGAAGTTCGGTGGGGTCAAGGACCGAGTCCTAAATCTCGGCACCCTAGGCGTCTGGGGGACGGAGGCCGGCGCGCGCAAGGCTCCAGGCGGGTCCTGGGGACACCGTTCTACCCCTCGGCGATGGCGTCAGCAGGCGCCCCTGGCGCGGCCCGCCGCGTTCCCTCTGCCCCGGGCCGCGGGTCGGTGTCCCGGAGCCGCTGGCGGGGAGAAGGACAATTTCTGCCGACGGAGGCAGCCCGCGCCGGGGCGAGGAGCAGGTGACGGGAGGGCGGGGCCGAGCCAGCCGGGCCGGCCCCCGGTTCTGCCCTACCTGCCTCACGTTGGCCGGCAGTTTGCTCCAAGGATAGTTGTGGCGGATGTGGAACTCCACGTCTATGTTCATGATGCCGGAGCCCGGCCAGCGGCGGTGGCCGCGACCGCGGCTGAGACGACGCCTCCCGCCTGCCCGCCCGCAGTCTGTCAGGGGACACGCGGGAGGGCCCGCGCCTCACACCACGGAAGGCTCGGACTGCCCCATGGCCAGGCCTCCCGACAGCTCAGCTCAGCCCCGCCACTGGGCACAGCAGTAGCAGTGGTGGCGACAGGCGGCTTGCGCCTCGGAAGCTCCAAGTTTCTTCCTAGTTTCGGCCCACCGGAAATGTCTCTGCCTTACGTCACTTCCGCCCTCTAAAGCGCTCAGGAGCGGGGCTCCGAGGGGCGGGGCTCCGACTGGCCGTCCCGCCCCCTGCATTGGACAGGCAGGGTAATGTGGAGGGTTCCTGCACCCGCAGGAGGCAGGCCGACGCCCGGGCTCCGGCTTCTTTTCCTTCAGTCCCGGGTGAATGGGGAAGATACAGTAGTCGCTTGGGTGTACACTGTCGTTTTTGGATGACCCAGTGTCCCAAATATGTGACCCTGGTTGGCCCAAAATAGGCGGTTGCAGGCACGTGGCCGGATCTGAGGGAGAGCCCTGGGCAAGGCCCACAGCTGGCTTCCGGCCGCCGGGAAGAGAAGGAGACCCTGGGCTCACCCGAGCCCCAGCCCGCGGCCAAGCGCCGATCTGGAGCCCTGCCTCCTCCCAGGTGGCTGCTGTGCCTTTGTAGCACCTTCGAAGATCCAGATTCTTAAAACGCAGAGCTTCGCGAGCAGCGTAGTTCAATAGCTAGTGCAAGTCGCAAAGGCCCAAGATGATCTGGCAGTGGCCCTGGCCAGCTTTCATGCGCAGCCTCTCGGTTTCCACTTTGGAAAATGCCAAGTTTCTGCTCTGCCAGATGCCTCCACATTTTAAAGGCAGAAAACCAACATATCTTCACAGGACCTCTACAGCAGGTATTTAGGAGCAAGTTCTTGCAGAATTCATTACACTGCCTTAAGCAGTTCCATGATCATTATAACTGGCAGACCGGAGATGAGTTCAGTATTTTTCTAACAATGTGAGTTTCAACTGATTGATATATACTCGACTTTGCTAGTAGATACCTAGCCCACGTCCCAAAAGCTGGGAAGTCTGATGTGTAGCTGAAGCCCCATTACATCTGTTTATCTGAAACAAATGTAAACACTGTCCTTGCCTAGGTGTACTGGTCCCATTTTACTCAACTATAGTAGCTTTGGATCCTTTCTCTACAGACCTTTGTCAGCATTGCTAAAGTTAAGTCCAACTGTGAGACATTAACTCAGCAAATACTCACCTGCCTACTGTGTATTAGGCCCTTGACTTGGAATAGATCTTTTTCATAACCCTGTTACTATCCCAGTGTAGCAGAAGAGTGAACTGAGGCTTGGCAGGACAACATGAAGGCTCACAAGATCACTCAGGTAGTAGGACGGAGCCTGAGGCATACTCTAGAGGCATCGCTTGAATTCCCCAAATCCGACTCTCTTTGAACCATGCCGCCTCCTGTTCAAATTTAGATAATGTTCATTTAAAGAGAACATTGTAAATCCCCTTATAATAATTTTTCATAATTGTACATGTAGAAAAGCCCATATTCTTCCAAAGCCGAACTTTGATCTAATGCAAGAACAATGAAAAATAAAAAAACTTAATTTTTAAGTCTCTCCAAGCCATTATTTTAGCTAGTTACAATAATAAAGCAGGAGTGTGCTTGTTAAACTTATTTTTTATTAACAAATATTAAATGTATCCTGGACGTATCAAAAGTTACAAAATACAAGCAGAGGCCACTAATGGTGAACTTCTGAGTGTTAAATCAGCAAGGCACAAATCTTTGGAAGCTTGACTGTGGTAAATAAAAAGATTCTAAGATTGGTAAATCACTGGACAAAAAAAGTAGACTATAAAGGAGGAAATGATGGGTTAAAGCTATGTGAACAGGAAGAACACAATTCCTTTAGAGTAGGAACTGGTGACAGAGTTTGGTTTATGAAAATACAGGGTGCTAATTATAGCACTAAGCTGTCTCCTTTCCCCCAAGAGGGCCCAGTTTTTGAGAGAATGGAAACAAAGCAGTTCAGATAGTTCTTAGGTTAACCCACAAGGCCCAGTTCTCACTTTCTGGAAAGTTGAGAAACAGGACCGCTCCCCAGATGCCAGGAAGGCCAAAACAGCTGCTCATCAGGCTCTGCATGCAGCGCTCATTACATCATGGCGCTTTCTTAGTAAACATTCGTCTCCATTCTTTAGTTTTAGTACCAAGGCCTCTGCTCTTTCTGCTTCACTAGACCTTTGCTTTTCAAATTCCAGAAAAGTCAGGCACTGTAGAGTGTTAGAAGCCCCATCCCAGAAGATGCTATCCAAATTAACCTTGTAAACAAACAATGTCTTCAAAATAACAAGTGCAATAAGTTGCCTACTAATCTGGCTTTACCAGATTGGATTAAGAACAATTATCCAACTAATCTGGGAAATCTAGTCTTTAGTGACACTACAGGACTCTCTGTTCCCAAAATTTCACAGAAAATAATAAGCAGAAACAACCCTGAAATAAAAGAACTCTCTAATGTCCACACTCACAGACAGAGAACATCATTCCCACAGTAGGAAGAATAATGGCTCCCAAAGATGTCCACTCTAATCCCTAACAAACCTGTGAATGTCACCTAACCTCGCAAAAGGAGCTTTGCAGATGTGATTAAATTAAGGGTCTTGTGATGGAGAGATTGTCTGAGATTATCTAAGTGGGTTCAGCGGGAGGCAGGACTATCAGAGTTAGAGAACATGTGCTGGTAAAGGAGAGGTCAGAGTGATGTAGGACCACAAGACAAAGCAGCTTTTAAGAGCTGAAAAAGAAATGGATTCTTTCTTCCCTACAACCATTTGATGTCCTGAACTGTAAAGTAAAAATTGGTATTGTGGTGTCACTAAGTTTGTAGTAATTTACTACAACAGCAATAGGAAATAAAATCACACTTACCAATAAAATACTTACTACCCAAACAACTGATGCAGCAAATTCTATAATTAAGGCCATATAATTCAAATGCAAATGTCCTTAGGAGGAACAATCACTTTTTAGCCCTGGACTTTTTGGTGTACATGGGTTATCACATCCTTTTCCAAAGACAATTTTGTAAGAGCTTAAGGATCACAGATCAGGAAATAATTTCCAGGAAAAGAAAGAGGAAGAAGTCATGGTAAACATTTTTTATCTTGCAGTTTTGTCAGACCTCATCTTGGTCATGAGTTTGCATCCCAAATGTGCTTTGCTCTATTCCATGAACCAGTTCACCTTCTAGGCCACTCAACACCTTGGCCTAGCATGGTCCCACCTCCCAGGTTTTGCCCTTGCTAGTTTCTCCCCCACCTCACTTTGGATGCCTTTCTCTAGACTGTAAGGAGCAGCTGAAGCTGAAAATTGATCACATGTGTGAGGGGTGAAGCATCCCCTGTCAGAAAAAAGAGCACCTGAGGCAAGCCATGTGATCAAGCTGCTTTGGTCCAGAGAACACCAAGCCTGAGACAATCCAAGCAATCAGTTGCTAGGCTGTCATATGATACTAACTTTGTCAAATGTATAAATAAATATCTCCTATGGTGGTTGAACAGCTCCTTTCTTCCCATCCAGGGAGAGAGAGAGCTCCACCTGACCTCAGCTTTTGTGTCATCTTTATTTTTCCCATCTTCTTGCCATTCTTCTGCCAGGAACTCCAAGAGACACATGAGACACAGCACTAGACCTTTGCACAACAGGCTCCGTGTGGCTTAGGGTGGCCTTCTCCAACTACCCCACGCAGGCCTAACCACTTCTCTCCTTCTTTCTGACACATTACCTTGATTTATGTCCTTTGTTGCAAGGAATCATTATCTGATATTCCCTTATTTGGTTGCTCATTGTTATCTGTCTTTTCATGGAAGAAAAAATTTTGTTCATTCATCAGTTTACCTCCAGTTCCTAACATCATGCATTGCACATAATTTTTCAATATCAATGAATACATTGAATGGAAAGGCTACTTATGTGATATTTGAGACCCCAAATGTCATCATCTCAATTAAGTCTTCCTTGATCTCCTTCTTCAGAAGTGTAGTACGTCCTGAACTTTCTACATCCCTCTCTTCTGCACTGTCTCTCTAAGGTGGAGATGGAATGCATGGGAAATCATGCAATGTCATAACATTGACATCATTGTCAACCCTTTCTGGAGGGAGGCTGCCTCGCTGAGACAGGACTTGTACTTACCCACAGCCACTGTCTCCACTTCTCCCTACTGCTCCCTGCTGTGAACTTGGCCCATTTTGAAAATCATCACACTTGCACTTGGTCTATTTCAGAGTGGAGAAATGTTTCCACACCTTTGTCTGTGTCAGAGGAAAAGAACCTGTAATTGAAGGAGGAAAAGTCAGCCATCCATCCTCTCCTGCCTCATACGCTTCAGAAATACACATTTGCAACTTCTGTGAAGGCTCTACAGTGTGAATCCCTTTGGTTCTTTGCATATGGAAAACCCATCTCTTCAATGCTTACCCCATTTCTCTACTTGGAAAACTCCACAGCCTGTCGCAATTCAGATGGAGTTTGGAAGAATCTGCGTGTGAGGATGGACAGTAGGTAGAGGTGGGACAATGCGGGACTGTTTCTCTTTTTGTTGAGTTTCTGTAATTTTCTCCTGCAAGTGATGCCAAACAACTGAAGAAATATACACCTGTTTTAGAGAAAGATAATTATCATCTCTCTATATATAATACAGAGAACAGTACATGTCTGCCATATGAACTTTATAACTTCTGTGTTTATAACTTTTGTGGTCTGATGTGGAAATTCACATGGCAGTATCAAGCCAGGTCCTCTCAATGCAGAGGCTGGACAATGGTAATAGTTAAAGTGACCACCAGGGGCTGATCTCACACAACATTTCTATACTTAAAAACCTGACTGTTCACTTCCTGGTTTCTACTTTACTTTTAAAACCATTCTCTCAGGGCTTACAGTCCGGGAAACTATTTAATTTGGCTCTACAGGCTTGTAGCATCTAATGCTTCAATTCTTTCTTCAAAATGATTGCTGCTCAGTGGTCCCAAATTCCCCTATTTGTGACTTCTGGTAGCTCAAGCTGACAGGATAAGTTGATTAGCTGCAAAGCTGAATTTGTCCATAGTATTTGAAAATATTTTCAAAGAATCCATGATGGGAAGTAAAACCACCCTGTGAGTGAATGAGGAAGTATTTCATGTTGGTACTCAATTTTATTTTTAAAAAGGCAATGGTTGGACTAGTTGAAAACAGTAAACGCAGGTAAAATAAATGAGATGACCAAAGCCCATGGAAGTGAAGAAACCTCTAATTTCTTCCCATTCGCTCATCAATTTAGTTAAGTGAAGTATGTGAGTGATCTTGTTCTTATAAGATATAGAATGAAAGTGTTTAATGTCAGATTTGTTTTGTAATGAAGGGGAGGTATTTCTAGCAGTATTGGAATCACCTGCAAAGTTTTAAAAATTACCAATATCCAGGCCCCCCATTAGATTAATTATAAAAGAGCTCCTGGGGTGGAGCCCAGGTATTGCATTTGTAAAGTATCTCCAGATAACTGTACTGAGCAACATTTTATCAAGCATCTTTGGGCCTCAGTTACACAATAAACATTAGTTCAAATAAATTTATAACATGGGAAGATTGAAGAATGTTAACTTCTAATATCTAATTCTAATTCTCTTAAGTCAATAATTCCAGGACCAAATATATAATAATTCTTTTGAAAATGCATAATAATTTTCCCAGTTTAGGACTTTTAGTGCAAAAAATTAGCAGCATCTATTCAACATTTGTGAATACAAAAGAAGTAATTTAAAAATTTCCCCACTCCTTGTTAACAACCTGGAGGGCCATGAGGCAGAGAACTACACAATATTCGGCCAAAGTGGAAAGGATATGAGTTAGTGCAACACATAAGGAATTGATCCACGTCAGATCATTTCAGCTTACTTGAGTATATTGTCGCAGTGGCTTAGAATTTGGCTGAAATGGAATAATTTTTTATTTCCTTCTATTATGTCATTCAAATTCTCCACCTTTAGTAACACATAATCCTTCAACTGCCTAACAAGAAATGCATGTTTGTCTACTAGTGTAAGCTTCCATCAGGGGTTAAATTTGAGGACAGTAGGATGTGGAGGACCTCAGTTGTTTCCATTTTGGCTGAACCTGACCCTGTTTCCATGTATTGACATGTACACAGCTGGCTAGGACTTTTCCTTATCCATTTAATTGGCTTTAAGCACTGCATATAGGTCCAGCCGAGGTGCTGATGGCAGTCTTTGAAGGTGTCAGGCATGTTTCCCCAGAACTAACCCCGCATTGTTCCCTTGTGTGAGCACGGATGAGGCAGGACAAAGAGCCAATGCTCCATGCTGTCAGCTGGGATTGAGCCTTGAAATAGAGGCTATGACTTCCTGGGGCTTCAAACATTACACATCAGAGCTGAAGCAGCCCAAAACATTAGATACTATCTCAATTGTGTGATGCAGATTACTCTTTCTGCATATCCTTCTCTCTGCAGATGGCAGAGATGATTTCAGGCCTCCTACCTAGCCCAGCTCACAGCACTCACCTACTTCCCACCATTCTCACAGTCACTCATCCTCAAACCACTCCTTTCTTCATGAATGAATAAAACCCAGGTTCTGCCTTGGGTCAAGGCCTTTGTTCCACATAGCCATCATGATGGCTGGACTTAGGACACCTTGGCTCCCCATAACTACAATATTACCTTAGTGTCTTTATCCTCACCATAGCTTGCACTGGAAGTGGTAGATTGGAATTAACTCACTAGAATTCCAATAACTTTTCATGGGATTGCAAACATGAACTTCCTGGACTACAACAAGGACTGGGAAGGGTTCTCTACTGTAGGACAGTTTGGTGACCTCTATAAATGAGATATGAGTGAGACACTACTTTCTTGGCTACAGTTACAACTGATTCTGGGAAAAGGTCAGTCGGCTATTTCTTGGCTCATATCTGGACGTATTCTCTGCATTACAGAAATGTGGAATTCTCTTTCAAGTAAATTTAGTTAATGACCACATCTTTTTTAAAAAGTATGTAGTACATAGTCATTTTTTCATTTTCATTTTCTACTTTCCTTAGAAAGCCAACTTCATTATACACCTAACACAAGCAGACCCAGAGAAGCAAACCTTGAATAAAAATTAGTCAAGAAGCCGCAGATGTCTATTTGCTGTTAAAAAGATAAGGCTCACTGCAAAGAAAGGCAAAAGGGAAGGTTCAGCTTTTAAATATAACCAGGACTTTGAGCCTGAGCAAGCCAGTAGCCTTGAAAGGCAGGCTTTGTTAAGAAGAGACTTTCAGGATTCTTATAGCTTTCTCTGGCAAATCTTTAGGGAAAACAGGGTGAGGAGGTAGACAAAAACTTCAAAATGAAGCATTTTCCTGCAGAAAACTCAGCCCTGATGAAATGACTGAATTTAAACAGAAAATACTAAATTCAGTCTTTTTTATTGGTACTGGGGACCAAATTCAGGGGCATTCTACCACTGAGCTATAACCCCAGTCCTTTTTATTTTATATTTTAAGACAGGGTCTCATTAAGCTGCCCATGCTAGCCTTGAACTCGAGAGTAGCTGGGATTACAGACATGTGCTACAATGCCCAGCTAAATTCACTCTTTCCATTTATGGATTTAATTCCTTCTCCCCCACATACACTCCTCCCACTACCCAGTGGGGTGAGAATATGAGAATGATTATGTCTACCATAGGAAATAATGCAACCGGATTTTCTTTCTGTAAGTGAACGGTTACAAAGAAAGACCTGTTTTTTGCACACAGGAGATAGGAGCAAGACTGACTTGAAGTGCGAATCCCTTACTATATGCTTCCTGAGATAGTATCTATTTCCACATGTTAGGACTTCCCAAGAGCACTCAGGAGGGCTTCCCACAAGGGGAATGAGGCAGGTTTTCATGGCCCACTCAGGAAAAGCAGTCACTAGAAGGACCCAAACTACAGCTTCCTAAAGAGCCTATATTCAATGGGAATTGAAAATCTTTAATCCAGAAAATTCTGACAGCATCAGTGAAATTAATATACAAGATTATAACTAATTCCCAAATCAGAAAGAAACACATTCATTGCATTTGGGGCTAAAGGAAATTGCAGAGGAAAATCTCTCACTCTATAAATAGGAGAAGAAGATAAAGTAAAATAAAATAACCCATACCAAGATCCCACCACAACCCTGATCCTCAGGGGTCAACAACAAGATATAGTGTTAGCAATTGATTTTTCCCCTGCTGTCAATTATTGACTCTGATTATAGAAATCTGAAGTCAATCTGAGAGTTAATTTAATGAAAAAATATATTCTTTCACCAAATATGGACTAAGTGATTTCCCTGTGCAAGGCTCTATGCTAAGTAGTTAGGGCCACAGAGATGGTTAAGATGTGATTCTGCCCTTAAGATCTAAGGATCTAGTACCTAAGTCAGTGAAATATGAAGTAGAACATACAGAGGAGTACAAGATACTAGTGGAAGGAAACAGACCCTCCTGGTAAGGACTCTGGAAACAATCACCACTGGTGCTTTCCAAAAATATTTGTAGATTGCTTTATATGGGCCAAGTAATCTGACTACTGCAACTATCAACACTCTCACTTCCTTTTAAAACTTCATTAAAACTTCATCTAGACATGGCTTCCTACTGAGCTTTTTAATGCAGAGATAGATCGGAAGCCTGTGGAGGAGAGGGTAAAAATACCTGGTTATTGTCTTTACATTCTGATGAACATATTCAAATGTGGAGAATGGACTACCTTAAAACCTGTTCTGTTTTTGCATAGAACCAGTAACAAATTCTTGATATGGTCGAACACTGGGCCAAGAAAGAATAGTGGACCGGTTTAAATGTTTAAAGATACTAATGATACTCATAGTTTCTTGCCAAGCTAGAAATGGTATTATTCTTTTTACCAGTCTGGCTACTCACTGCTAGAAAATAAAGGCTGATTTTCAGTTTATAAGTAAGCCACAAAGTTAAAGATTTACCACATATTGCTTTAAAAACTATTAACTGGTACAGGCTGGTACCGTCTGTTTATTGCTGATATGAGAAGTAGGACACACCTGCCATTAACAAATAATGACATGATAGTGTGTGAGACTACCAGGAAACATACCAGAGCTGATTAGTCAGATCATTTCATTAGGCTGACAATTATTAATGGGCTCCTCACCATGATGCTTCACAATTCCCTAGACCAGCAGTTTTTTAGGGGGGCAATTATGTCCCCAGGGGACATCAGGCAATGCCTAGAGACATTTTTGGTTGTTACAACCAGAGAAGGTGGACAGAGTCCAGGGATGCTCTGCTATAAAGCACAAGACACCTCCCCACACAACAAATTACCTGTCCGGCCCCAAATGTCAATAGCGCTGAGTAAGAACCCTGCTGTAGATATTTGGCATGGAAACGAATACTCTAAAAGCATTCACTTCACTCTGTGACCCTTAATCCAAAATCAGTCTCAAAACCATCCCGTGCAATCCTTGTACAGGAATCCATGTCCACCTTTGTCATGTGAAAGGT